TATATGAAGTGTCCTCTGGCTTTCTTTGGGATAGCAGAACAATCAAGGTTTGCTCGTGGAGCAAGAAAGTCACAAATTGATTGAGATAGCTGCATTGACAAAGAATAGACCAGAACTTTCAAACTTAACTCCTAAATACATATGTCAGCAACTGGCATGCTCTGCACATTTGGAATTAATCCACTTTTATTTAGTTGGATTTTAGAGCCTAACTTTATGTAACCAAATTTGAATATATATATATTGCTATTGTGTCCACAGCAAAAAGTATTCAGAACAGATTGCATTTTTTGTCTAATTGTACATCTGGATTGCAAAAGCATTAGGCATCCCTATGTGGAAGTTTAAGGTGTAAGTGCCAGAATACCAGAACATCAGCCACAGAGAGTTCATCTTCATTTCCTAATATATATTTGGATTAACTCAAAATTAAATTGCTGTGTGCCTATTGTTAATTGCTAACACTCACCACTGAATCTTGTTTTGAGAAGGCTTCAGAATCTTTCTGTGGAAAGTTGTATGTTGTCATGTTAGTTGCAACACAATTTTTTTTCTGTTAGAAAGACGCAGGCTGAGCCTTTTATTGATATAAATGGTCCTGTCATCTCATAATATATGTCACATTACGTCTTTTAAAAATTTCTTTTTAACTTTATAGAAAGGGAATGCCTCTGCAAATACGAATTTTGATTAGCTAAATTCCCTTCTTTTCTTAAGAGTCATAATGAGACATAATGTTTAGTACATCACTGCTAAGTCTGGATTGATTGATTTAGTTTATTTTTTTTAAATCAAGCCATCTTACTACTACTACTACTACTACTACTACTATTAAACAACTGAACAGTGTATATTCACTGATATATGTTATAACAATGTCAGCAATATTTCTCTATAGATCTTCCACTGACACAAAAACAGATTTCTGCTCATTTCTGTGTTAGTTATAACACATGATACAATACAATTTAAAAAATCTCCACATACCCTGTTTACAGCCAGGAATTTTGCAATGTCACGTCAAGAAGATACCAAATGACAGCACAATGAGATCTGGATCTGCTATATATATTATTATTTATATACAAGATGCTTTATAATGATATATAACTAATGATAATATTCCCACAACCAAATAGAAATAAATTGTCAATGTTCAGTATTGTGTTTAGAAGCACTGGCACAATTTATACTAACCCTTCTGGAGCTCTAAGACATTGCAAAACACAAATAGTTTACATCAGCTCTCCTCTTGTTATCACTGATCTAATCAATAAAGACAAGCACTTTATGTGATAAATAAAACTTCAAAACACAGTAAGGGATGAAGGTGAGGCAACCATGTATCCTACTAGTAATCTAATGAAACTGAAAAACAAATGACTTTAAGAAATTAGGTCTAATGTATTAGCCACAGTACAGCACTTATTAATGGATTACAAATACTATTTAAATGTGAGAACAATATACTGATTTCAGAGATCACGGCTTCCTTAAATCCAGCAACATACACTTATTGAAGGTAGCAGACACATTTCAAAAAGAAAAGTACAATAATGATGCACAATATAGATTTCTAAAGGGTACTAGAAAAAATGTACAAACCAGTTATTGAATGCTGTCAGTGAAAAACTTTTTTTTTAACAGTTACAATGAGGATAACAGATTTTGGCTCAAATTATGGTCATGTGAGGTTAATACTTGTTTTTCCATTGATCTTAATGGGTCCAGGATTTGGTCCATAATTGCTATGCACTGATTCCACATTGAGTACCTCTTATTTCCAGTGAGTTGTGTCATTTACTTCAATCAAGCAACTCATATAAATGAGTGCTACTCAGTACAAGGGCTGAAGAATTGGACCTTACTTAAATACAAAAATGTGGAATATTTGCAGATACTGAGAACACAAGAACATAAGAATGGCCACACTGGGTCAGACCAAAGGTCCATCTAGCCCAGTATCCTGTCTTCCAACAATGGCCAATGCCAGATGCCCCAGACAGAGGGTTCACAAGAAGGTAATCATCACGTGATCCCTCTCCTGTCATCCATTTCCAGCCTCTGACAGAGGCTAGGGACATCATTCCTACCCATTCTGGCTAATAGCCATTGATGGACCTTTTTTGAAGCCTGTTAAAGTCCTGGTCTTAACAATGTCCTCTAGCAAGGAGTTCCACATGTTGACTATGTGCTATATAAAGAAAATCTTCCTTTTGTTTGTTTTAAACCTGCTACCTATTAATTTCATGTGGTGACTCCTAGTTCTTATGTTACAGTAATAATAACTTTTCCTTATTCACTTTTTCCACACTAGTCACTTTATTGACCTTTATCATATCCCCCCTTAGTCTCCTCTTTTCTAAGTTAAAAAGTCCAAGTCTTTTTAATCTCTCTTCCTATAGCACTCGTTCCAAACCCCTAATCATTTTTGTTGCCCTTTTCTGAACCTTTTCCAATGCCAATATACATTTTTTGATATGAGGGAACCACATCTGTACACAGTATTCAAGATATGGGCATACCATGGTTTTGTATAGAAGCAATAAGATATTCTCTGATACTCACTGTTGTTAGATACTACTGGATAGATAATGATGTCTGAATATGAAGTACTTATGAAACAAATATTGGTGAAAAGCATGACTACTTATTAATAAACAATTTGTAAAGTGTCTTAGCTAAACTATAGGGCTACGTCTACACTGGCCCCTTTTCCGGAAGGGGCATGTAAATTTCACTTTGAAGTAGGAATAAGACCCTCCGGAAAAGGGCACTTTTTCCGGAGGATCGGGGCCAGTGTAGACGCTCTTTTCCGGCTTTTTTAAAAGCCGGAAAAAAGCGGCGGACATTTTTATTTAAATGCCGTGGGGGATATTTAAATCCCCCGCGGATTTCCCTACGACGACTGGTGAAATTTACATGCCCTTTCCGGAAAAGGGGCCAGTGTAGACGAGCCCTAGAAGTATCCATCTGGATCTTTATTACATAGTTTGAAAGGAAGCCTAACATTACAGTAATTAGTTTATACACACACTCTGAGGAATCAGATGCTAATGATTAAAGACAACTTTTATTCCAAGCTATGATAAGGTTTCAAAGCTCCCCATATGCTAGCATCACTTTTTCTGGAGATTTCAGTGCTCATGTGGATTTTCACAGCCATTCCAACTCTTGAAGAGTAGTGATTAATTAAAATTAGGATATAAGACATGAGGATATAAGGAATGGTTGGACAGTGAAAATCAATTAGGCCCAACATATTTTCCCCCTTTCAATATTTATTTTAACTTTAAATTTCCATGTTTAGTCACTGTATATAGTTCAATTCACATTATATGCAATAAGTGTATTTAAAATTCATTCATATTCCTTACTTTGATAAATTAAGTATTTTAATTGCTGAATGGTGTAGTTTTCTTGCAGTTGACCAATGTTTCAGGTCCTCTTAAATACATTCCCAATAACTTCCTCACTATTCCTCATTCGGTCCCATATTTTTGAACCTATATATGCACTGAATATGTGAACTCCAGTCTGAACTGGGATTAACAAAATCTCTATATTCATTTGTTGAATTAAATATAGCACTTAAAATATTCTCTGTAATTTAACTTTCATAGCATATCTTTATGATCTTCTAATTATTTTTTTAATTTTTATTCTGCTTATTGTATAGATCTTCCAATTCTTTCTGCCAGATTGTTTGCTATTTAAAACTATTTTAGATTATACTTTAAACTGTAATATCCCTGCTTAATCATATTGACCTCTGTTGTCCTTTTAGAGTACTTGTTGAGACTTGTTTAGACTTAATTTGCATGAATTGCCATTGCTGTATTTTCAACAATTTCTTATATACTGTACTTCTTCTCTCTATATTCTTAGGACATATGCAATTTGCAGGTTATATCAACAGACATATTAAACAGGGGCTTATAACACTGATACAAGACCGAGCAAAGAAGTCTTAAATTAGTGTTAGCCTGATATGAAGTGACTTTGTATTTTTCACTGTTCTAACAGCTGCTCTTAATATAGGATTCCAAATCCCCAAACCCTTTGAATGCCTTATAAATATAGTTTCCTGAAGTCAAAAACATTTGTTTCCTCCAGGAAAGATTTAATGAAGTTATAAATCATCAGATCTTTGATGCTACCCAACTTCAATTTACTTGTGGTTTTATGAACTAGCACGTATTTCTGATCCATCAGTGCAACTCAGGAGTAACACCAATTAAGTTAACAGAGTTGCACTATCAGAAAAGCCAGTGTGGGAGCATAATCAAGAACGTAGGTTCTCAGCTTTCTTCTGTATAGTGCTGCTTAACTTTCAGAGAAATGGAATGTATGTAAGCATTTAAAAACTTTAATAGAACATTAAAAGAACAGGATGTAGACCTACTGCAGCTCAAATGATATACTGCCTGAACTCTGTGGCATGCCTTTTCAGCTGCTCTTTTAATAGATAAATTTGCATTGTCAGCAATTTTATATATCAAATTACAGATATTCCTTATTTTTTATCCCTTAATTTTATTCTTGCAGTAACAATAGATAATCACATTTAATTATCATAACAAAAGATTATCTAGTGCAGCAAAATGATTAGAAAAATATTCATTATTTGACTAGAACTGCAAAGGGATACACGTTTCCCAGAGCTGGCACTTTCATTTGAAGGTGCCCTTCATGAAAGATTCAAGGGATTTTTGGATTTGATGGGGGTCTGAAAGTCTGCATCAGGGGCAAGAAATTGGGAATTGGGGAAGCTAGGTTCATTTCTCAGCTCTGCCAGTGATTTGCTCTATAATCTTGGACAAGCTTCTTTACCTCCATCTTCAAAAGGATTAACCATAATACTCCTCTCATAGAAGTGACTAAAATTCATGAAATATATGAGACCCTGGTATGAAAGATACTGTGTACATGTAAAAATATATTGCAGGTATGGTCAACGTTAATAAATATATTAATTTAAACTGTCTCCTTCCTCTCAGCTACAGGCTGATTGATCTGACTGCAATCTAATGGAAGGAATCATTGTGCCAATGAAGCAGAGTGACTACTGACTACCTTCTCCTTCTTGGCCTCTTGGGAAGTACCACCAGGATTAAACCAGCTTTGGAGCCTGGGGATGGGCTTTAGGGACGAGAACTCCCTTACTTGTCCTAACATTGGAATCTGTGTATGGTCAATTGACTGAGGTACGCATCACACTTATCCTTAGGCTTTTTGCTGCCTGAAAATATTACGTGTTGCCTTTCACTTCAGCTTCCTTTGTCTCCCTGGCTGTGGAAGACAGAGGTTCTGCTGATGTTGATATAAACAATGTCAAGGCCAATGGGACTTCTATGGCTGCCTTTGATCTTCACCCCAGTCTGTGTCATGTTGAATTCTAATTTTCTTTTGTGGATAACTGCACTAGCTATAAGATTTACCCTCATTGATGGCCAAGCACAATACCCTGTTGTTACCACGAATTATGGCAAAATACGTGGCCTAAGAACACCTTTGCCCAATGAGATACTTGGCCCAGTGGAACAGTACCTGGGAGTTCCCTATGCCTCCCCTCCAACTGGGGAGAGGCGATTCCAGCCCCCAGAACCTCCCTCCTCCTGGACTGGGGTTCGGAATGCCACACAGTTTGCTGCCGTCTGCCCACAGTACCTGGATGAGAGGTCACTGCTCAACGACATGCTGCCGGTTTGGTTTACTGCCAATTTGGATACCGTGGTGACATACGTGCAAGATCAAAATGAAGATTGCCTGTATTTGAATATATATGTGCCCACTGAGGATGGTAAGTACTTTATTCAACCCCCTATAAACCAGCCCTCCCACTATTTGTTTAAATGACAAATAGCTTCAATACCGGGTTTATGCAATACTTTGTTACACTTCCTACATGTTACCTATTGAACTGAATTTTTTCTCTTTACATTAATTAGATCCAAATTGTATACCAATTAACTATGCTTGCATGAATCCATTTTTATATATCTTTTTGTCATTAAATTGCAGTTTTATTTATAGGAATTGGTCAGTATATGAATAGGTCATCACTCCAAAGATTATGGCAGATGAATTTTTTAAAAAATCTCTCAAGAAATAACAGCACACAACAGACGTATGCAAGTAATATTACACAATATATTTTTAAAGAAACAAATTGTTTATAGAAATTTTCCTTTCTGTTTGCTTTATTATAATACCTTTTACATAATGTTAATTTGCTTTATTTTAATCAGTAAAGGATTGCTAAAGTTCTACAACTTGAAGACTCCATGACTATTTAGCATTGTTAATCAAGTTATGTATCATTCATTCACTGAATATAAAATGGAGCAATCACAGGGTACATTACATGAGAGAAACCAAAGAAAATACAATTGTATATGCTCATACAACCCCTCCGCCCCCACCCAAATCCCTCTGAGATCATTATTCTGCACCAGTCATCAGTACAGCAAATGTGTGCTTTGGTAATATAATTTTGTGAACCTCTTCTATTCACTTTTAATCTGAACGGGTCTATTTTTATGAGGTGCACAGAATATTTCTTCAGATGTGTTGAGTGAAATCAGTTCCCACGGAAGACAAGGTTTCCTCTGATCAAACACCAGCTGACTAATGTTTGTTCAATATTACAGGATAACGAATGATATTTAATATTCCGCTGAAAGCCAATTGTTTTATTCACTGCAGTTACTTACTGATGAATAACTCTACAGATTTCCTTCAGATATGCAAATCCTGTACTCTGTTTGTGTGGGGGGGAGGGGTTAATTTGCACAATTGTGATATTGTTTTTTCTCAGTAAGCGTATTCTGAATATGCAAATCTTGGTACTCTGGCTATCATAATCTCTCTGCTCTGATTGGCTTCTGTACATAGAATTTTTCAAGCTGTTGGCCAGCTATAAATATACCGCTTTAGTTTCCCACTCCCTTCAGCCAAAACAGAATACTAAAAAATGTATAAGATACTGGTGTGGTGGGACTAGTGAAATGGAAAGACAAATGAGTTAGTAAAGGGAAAGTATCTGAAAAGAAAAGGTGCATTCCTGAGGGGGAGGTGAACTTTTCTCCTAATTACCCTCCTTCCTCCAGTCCTCTTTACTTATTCCTAGATATTCAGAGAGGTCTTGGTCTTCGTGTGCTTGTTTATTTTTTGATCCTGCAGCTTTTAATTACTTACTAAGGCAACTCTGTAGGCCAGGGCTGTAAAATAATCACTTATTTGTCCATAGTGGAAGAACTCCACTCCTTTTGTCTCAATATCATTTTAAAGCACAAAGCAGGCAAATATATTACTGCAGTTATTTTGTCGAGAGGAATCTTGCTCAAATGAAGGAACCAGGAGGTACAAGGGGAAAAAAGTTAATCAAAGATTAGAAGCATGACAATAAAGATGAGTTTTTCTTAAGTCAGTTTACCTTTTTTCTTAAGTCAGTTTACCTTTCAGTGTACGCGCATATCATATTATTGAATTCATCTCTTTTAAAATGTGAATATGTTAATTACAAATGTCTATATAGTAAATCCCACTAATAAAAATGATCATGTTCACTGTATCCTAATTAAACCTAAACTAATAAACTACTCGGCCTCTGATTATTTAAGTAGGAATATTGTTGCTATCTCATAACGTAGAAGAATCCCCTAATGCCATTGTGTGTCATCTTATCAGCAGTTAGTAGATATGCCCATTTAATTCCATGGGGGGAAAAATCACATTTTTATACAAAGATTGGTTAGGAGGACTAGACTCTGGGGAAAAGGATGGTTATTAGGAGTCCAAACCTCTCCTCCCACTCATAAATGCTACCATAAGGGGAAAGTGTTAGGCAGCTTCTGATACTCTTTTGTTGATATCTGTGAACTTATTAATACGCATCATGACAAGTACAGGTTTGACCTCTCTCGTCTAGCAGTCTCGGGACATGACTGGTCCTGGATGAGGATTTTGGAGGATCAGGGGTGAGCATTTGTGTCCCCCCCACTGCTGGCCCTGCCTTATTCCCTGCAGCCCCTCTGGGCATCTTCTTGCTCCCCTTTCTCCCCCTCCCCCCAGAGCACCTGAATGCTGGGCTCCTTTTCCCCCACTTTAGACCAGGCTCCCAGATTCGCTTTCCCCCACAGGACTCCGGATTCCTGGGCTCTCCCAGACCCCACAACATGCCAGGACTTTCTGATCCTGGAACATCCGTGGTCTTGATGAACCATGGATGTTATTGAACCAGAGAGTCCTGGTTTAAAGAGTTATGACCTGTATTTTCAGTAGGCTTCTGAGGAGAGTCAGAAATTCCCAAATGAATAAATGCAGTTTTTAATTTTTGTTCCATTTATCTTAATTATCACTAGTTAAATTCAGCATAGTGTTTTTCACTTAGTAAATATGTAACTGACTGCTCATAACATGATTCAAGAGAACTGACCTATCTTTCAAGCTAGCCTGTTACCAAATCGTACTAAAGATAAATTGCTTTAAGTTGTAGTCCATAGAATCTGATTAAACACATTACACTTCATTATATGAGTCTTAGCTGACAGAAAAAAAATGTGTTGTTATAGAGACAGACCATGAAATTAGATTTTGAAGTAGAAGTCTGAAAATGAATGACTGAGTTAAATTCACATTTTCAGTCCTTGCTCAACTACAGATTTCTTTACAAGTTCCCTGAAACTGTTTTGTGTATGCATGAAAGGATAGACAGGCTCATCTAAACCCAATTAATGCTCTGACTCTAAAACATTTCTGAATCATTTTGTGTCTCTGTTTTTGACAATGTCAGTGAAAAGAAACTGCTGTGCTTCTGTAATGCATCAACTGTGGTCACATGTAATGTGGCTTCCCCTTCAAAACTATTACCAGTAGCAGCTAATCAAAATGCAGCTCAGTTCTACAAATTGGCTACACAGCATGTGCTGTCATTAGCTTCTTGTGTAGATTGATGTAGCAAACCTAACAATCTCTCCTTGATTATACATTCGGAATGAAGAATTGCAAAGCTTAAGATGCTGGTTTTTTCTCTCCTTTAAATTAATGTAAATCCCACTGAATTCAGAGGAATGACAACTTTGTGAAATGAATGTGAGTGAGAATGGAATCAGGCCCAGTAACTGGGCAGATAATTATTACTCATTGCTAATAAATTAATTTGAAAAAACTGTTGCTGAAATGTTTAAGATACTCAATAAATCAAACTGTATGAAATCTATAGAAGTTAAAAAGTTAGGCAGCAAGGCTAAGTAAATAATAAAATTGTTTTTAACTATAGTATTTAATTAGTCTTGCCAGAGAGGATGAATTTACAAATTATTACTAATAATAGGATACCACTTTTTAATGTTTCTGAAAATAGGCAGACTAGCAATGGAAAACCCTGTTTAAATTGAAATAATCTTTCTAGAAACATTCCAAAGAGATTTATTCTTAAAAATGAAATTTAATTCCTCTTCTCCCACAACCAAAAATAATGCACAATTTCTTCAGGAGAAGAGTACTGGTAGGAACCAGACCAAAGTGAAATATCTAGTAGGCTGTCTCTGAAATCTGTCCATGCTATATGTGTGCATGCACACGTGCGCATGCAAAAGTCCTGAACTGTGTACAGACTCATTCATAACAGTAATGCCTAAATTAGTGAGACTGAAAGAACTGGATGAATTCTGTTGGATTTTGTTGCCCATCATTTAAAGTAAAAGAAGAGAGAGGAAAAGTATCATTACAGTTCTGTATATTCATGATGGATGTGAACAGTAACAGTACGGTGATTTTAACAATATTTATGGATGCTGGTGGTAAACAGATGTCAGTAGTAAAATGCTCTTCTTTCTAATAGTGATTTGACTGTCAAAACTGCTTGTGCAAAATGGAAGACAATGAAGCACTTTAAAGACTAACAAGATGGTTTATTAGATGATGAGCTTTCGTGGGCCAGACCCACTTCCGAAAGCTCATCATCTAATAAACCATCTTGTTAGTCTTTAAAGTGCTACATTGTCCTGAATTTTGCTTCAGCTACCCCAGACTAACACGGCTACATTTCTATCACAAATCTGCTTGTGTTATTTAAAAGTGATTCAATTCAAAATTCAGCTATAAATTTTGCATTAAAAGTTAGCTTTTTATCTCAAATTACTACCTAGGCAGCAGCTATAGGTATCTCACTTTGTCTTATGAATACACAACACGTGTATAATATAAACATGGACATATTTGGCTCTTTTCTGATTACTAGAATCTGTAATTTTCTGCAAGAATACATAAATGTCAGTTTTGAGAAGGTCAGCTAGGGAAATAATATTGAGGACAGTCTGTTTATTGTAAATTCAGTCTGAATATGGGTTTATCTACAGTGGGAGTGCTAGATTGAACAGGACATAGAATGTTAATCGGCTGTGCTTAATCCCTAGCCTTTATCATTTTAGTCTGTGCATGCTGTAACAGGGATTGAGCCTGCTATCATAACTACGGAAATAAACAAAACAAAACCTACCAACCGACAAGTTTGAATTCTCACATGTAAATCATAAAAAGCTGCATTATATTAAGGCAAGATAAAAATATAATTTAAACAGCATCAGCAAGTCTTCCATTTTGGTTTAACTCTGCTTTTTTCAGACCAAAAAAGAGGAAAAATCACATTTTTCTTCTGTATATAGTCAAAAGCACTATTATAAACTCAACATTATTTGATACATGATGAATAAAGTGAATTTCCAAAGTATGTTCAACTACTAAACAACTAAATGTTTGTCAGTGATTAATTGAAAAAAGTACTTAACATCTTTGGGG